ACTGCACCAACACAATTCCTGAGCAACTACTGGAAAATGTAATGACTTGTTTGGAAAATAGTATTTACTATTCTGTTCACCTAGTGCTATCTTATCAATTGTTCTGTCTACTTCAGGTCTCCGTTATAGTGGATGCTTCAGAAGCAGATGAATTTGCAGAAGTAGCATCCAAGCCTTTACGATCTCTTCCTTATGATACACCTGGACAAACCTTTGTGGCATTTGAGAAGCCTGAGGGTATTACAGCAGTTGGAAAGTTTACAAACATGCTGAGGTTCATTGTTAAAGAGGTATGTTTTCCTGCTTTATTCTTTTGTTGATGTATGTATTTTCTTTTTCTAAGTTTCCTGCATGGAACACTTTTGGAATACAACTTTGTTATTTTGTTATGTTTATCTACCAGTGTGGCTTTAAAATGTTTGCTTGCACACAGAGAAGTAAATTTTTATTTAGATTTTTAGTTTAGTTATTTTATGAGAAACAAAAGTTTTTTTTTTGGAAGATATGCAGTATAGTACCAACTATTTAATTCTTGGGATAATAATTGTTCAACTTTTTTGGTGCTGGGTGTTATATACCAGGTTGATCCAAGTACTGGTGAGGCAGAGGAAGATGGTGTTGAGGATGAATACCAACTAGAGGACCTTGAAGTTGTTGCAGCAGATTTCATGATGAAGGTTGGAGTCTCCAATTTCAGGAATGCTTGGGAAAGCATGGGAGAAGATTTTGAGCGTGTGGATGAATATGGCCTTGGCCCAAGGGAGAGCTTGGCCGAAGCTGTTAGTGCTGTCATCAACCTTCTTGGCATGCAACCTTGTGAGGTTAGTTTGTCATCATGTGACTGTATGATGATTAGTTATTACTTAAGATTTGACGATCCAAAGAAAAATGAGAATGGAACCGAACCATTTGATTTCTTAGGGTGAATTAAGAAACTGGACTCTGTCTGGGGAGCGGAAAGTTCTGTTTTGTTGGAGTATTGATGCTGTGATCCCACTATGCTACTTGCCTTCTTGATTAGAATAGAAATATTTGAGCTGCATAGGACCACAATGCTAATGAAGGCCTTCAATTCAAGTTATTTTTATCAATTAGGGGTCCTTCTTGGATATTTTTTGTTGTGATATATTATTTGATGTTTGAAGTCTCATGTGATTGTTTGAAATATGTTCCTATAATCACTCCCTTAACTGATGTTCTTATGTTAGTCCTTTTATTTTATTTGTCTTCTGGGGTGTTGTTCAGGGAACAGAGGTTGTCGCAACCAATTCAAGGTCACACACGTGTCTACTCTCTGGTGTATCCTTAGGCAATGTGAAGGTTCTTGTACGGTTGCAGTTTGGAATTGAGGGTACGAGGGATGTTGCGATGAAACTGTCTGTTAGATCCGAGGATGAAGCCATTGGTGATGCCATTCATGAGATTGTATCATGCAGCTAAGGTGTCAGTCCAGTGATTGTTCCTCTTTCTACTCAGCAGGCTATTTGTTTTTGTTCCGCAGATGAGGTCAGGGACAGATTGCTGTAATATCAATTAAAGCTCTCTTTATACAAAGAGTTGCAAGTCACGGGGAAGGGAAGTTTGGCTTGTAGGAGACTGTATTTGCTTTTAACTTGAGCAGAGCTTTTCTCGTCATTTTTTTAAAGCTAGCAAACGTCATTCTTGTGTCATGCAAATCAGGTCCGTTAGGAAGATCCTTTTCTGTTTTTTTCTTCTTTTTTTTCCCGGAAAATTCTTATGTGTAAGATTATCAATCTTGCTTGGTATACTTTTTTCCATAATACGGGACGAATTTTTGGGGTGGATTATCCTCATATGTTTTGGCATCGCAATGTTATGGATTCGTAAGAATTAATGATTGTTGCTTGCAAAAATTAAGAACTTCGGCACGGAATTCATGGCTCCGACCGAACTTTGTGATGTTATTTTAATCATGCTTGTTAGACTGGAAAATGTCGTTCTAGTTAATAAAACGGTACATTAAAAGCCTTAAATTCTCCTGTCTCGTTTCAATTGTCGGTCAGATACCGGCTGGAATGTTTCTGCTGTACCTGAATTTTGTTGTAGTTTTGACAAGATGCTATTTGTCAGTGATTTTTTCTGTAGTACTGGTAACCTTGGTCAGAAAAAATAAATTAAATTACTAAGAGATTTACTAGAAAAAATAAAATAAATTAATTGATTATTTAATACATTAGCTTGTTTTGGATTTTTTAGGATATTATCATTGGATATCTAAAGCTGTAGTTTCTATTATTAAACGAGTACATTCGAGAGAGCTTAACAAAACGGGCAATAAGAAGAAGAAAATGGCATTAACCTCGAATATTGCTTTGTGGAATTGAAGAATTCAGGGGACCAAAGTTTATACACACTATAATTTGTTATTTTAATTTTATTTATAAACATGTATTTTATCAGTTCCAAATAGTAGCACAACAAAAACCGAAAGGATATTCATCTTAATCAACATTTGGAAATATGGGAGTGTGGTTAACTACGTGGGAGTGCCCAACATCATCTACCAGCACAAAACCACTGCAGCTATACAACCCTCAACCGAAACGGTCCCGTTTTCCTTTACCCTTTTTTTATTTTTTTATTTATAAAATTCCACGTAATAAAAGTTGGCCTTTTAATGACCGTCGGTGCTTTACGGTATGACTTTCTAATTAGTCAAGCGCAACAAAACAATTTTTTAGGTATAGGGAATTTCAACCGGAATAGGATAGATTACTCCAAACACACTGCCTGCAATTCAAACATATGAATACTTTCTACCTTTTACTTTTTATATTTTAGACATTTTGTTTGGATGAAGACTAATTTAATAAAGGGCTTAAACACTTAAAATAAAGTGAAATCACATATGTAAATTGACTAAATAAAAGATTAGAATGCAAAGTGCTTACACGCAAATTAGAGAGTGTTTATTGTAAGTAATCTTCTCTCCAAAACATTTTGACGCTTTTTTACCAACTTATATCGTACATAGAGAATAAAAAACCCAAAATTAAACACCAAAACATTTCCATATCGAAAGAGTAATTTTGTTCCAACTAGAGATATAAAGAGTCAACTGAAACGACATCGACAACTTTAGATTTTAATCGAGAATCTAGAGGATCCATCGACTTTAGATTTTAATCGAGAATCTAGAGGAGTTCTAGTTAGCAAATATAAAATCTAACACTTGTTTGTTTGCTGTAAAATAATTTTTTTTAAAAATAAATTATAGAAAAGTGAATTTTAAAAAATAAATTATTTGCCATGAATTGTTAGTCTTTAAGAAATGTAGAAATGTAGTCTGGAAAAAAAAGATAAAAAATTAATATAATAAAAAATAAATTTAAAAAATACTTTATAATATTTGAATATTTACTAGAAAGGAATAGAGTTATCATCTTTCATATCTAAGAGATTTTTTCATGTTTTTTTATATATAAAATGCCGTGGGGTAGTGATTAATAAAATATAAAATCTAATGCTTGTTTGTTTCCTGTAAAATAGTTTTTTTTTTTAAATAAATTATAAAAAAGTGAATTTTAAAAAATAAATTAACACTTCTCTCTACTTGCTATCTTTATATTATCGCTATCTAAAAACACTAAATTAATTTCAGAATCGGAAAGTTTTTTCACGATTAACACCCATCAAAACGACAATCGTCCATTTAGAAAGCTCAAGTTCAATGAAGTTTTTCCGAGCTTCATTACAATTATTTAGATTTAACAATAACAATATATATAACAAGAGAAGTTTTCAATCTCCAGTTGCCAACCCTAAAGATAGAATTGTAGAAACAGTAGCTAGGGAAGGACAGAATAACAAATCTTATGAGTCTGCAGGTTACAACTAATCTTCTTGTAAACAAAAATTACTGAAAGTTGTCATGCCCATTCTGTACTGTGAACGTCGGTATCATTTGAAATTGCGATCGTAATCTTGATTTTGTGAAAAATTATTTTAATATACTAACATTAAAAATAAAATTTTAAATGAAAAATTATTTTTAAAATTAATCCTAATATAATTTGATTAATAAAAAGTTGAGTGAAGATTTCTATTTTAAACAATACTGATATCTTAATATAAATTATTTTTATATTCTATTTTTATTAAATCTGATTTACTTAATTTTTAAAAATTGATATATTTAATTATGAATTATATAACCATGTAATCACAAGATTCATATCAAATCTTTGTAATACTTTTAATACAGTCATAATACTTTTAATACAGCCATGACAAAAGCTCTTTATAATACTTTTAATACAGTCATAATACTTTTAATACAGCCATGACAAAAGCTAAGTTATGGTGTAGTTGGTTACTTAAATTTAATTTAATAATTTTTATAAAATAAAAAATATTATTTAATATATTTTTAAATAAAAATTATTTTAAAACCCCATCTTATTATAATTCCAAATAAACCGTTAATCAAGTGGTAGCTTTCTGACAAAGAATCGACAAGATCTTCATCACCTTTGCATAGGAAAACTATACAGACACTAAAATTAGGTTCTTGTTTTTTTTATAGGAAAATGACAGAAAATCCCCTCCTTTGTAGGAGGGGATTCTGTGTACCGCAGTCCATAAAACTAATACCATGCAACCTTGTCTCCTAATTTCCATCTTTTGAGAATTTACTCACCCTTCTCCCCAGGTATTATAATTCATCTCCTTTTACTTTTTCGTGAGATTTCTTCGGCTAAATCAAATACAAATGATTAATTAGACACGTAAATGGTTTGAAAATCATGATCATCGCAGCTACACCTTAATGGTCTTTCATGCATTGTTGATCTTGTTAGGAATTATATTAACTAACTATGTATCCTCTAGGATTGCATTTAATGATTCTATCATTCTAAGCGTTAGATTCTGTTCTTCAAAAATCATTTGGTTGGATGTTCGTTTTCTTAATGCGTCTTTCTCGTTAGAGTATCTGGGCTCACATCGTTTGGAAGAGGGGTGGGATTTGTCCGGGAAGCTTCGACGATAATATTGGTTGGCAAGTATTCCTACCATGTCTTCCCCCGCGCCTGAAGAATCTCCACTTTCTCCACCACCATCATCTGCACCACCTCCGTCGTTAAAAGAGCCGCCGCCGCCACCATTGGAGTCATCGCCACCTCTATCCACATCCCCGCCCCCGATAGAGGTCTCTCCATCACCACCACCACCGCCAACAGAGTCCACACCACCCTCTGATCAAAGCTCGCCCTCACCACCGCCACCAGAAAACTCCGATTCTTCACCACCACCACCACCACCACCTTCCTCTTCTAAGGAAAATAACTCACCACCTCCTCCCCCGACAACAAAAGATAATGGTAGTAATATTTGGTCGCCTCCACCACCTCCATCATCATCCAAGTCTCGCAACTCGCCACCTCCACCACGATCTCTAGGACAATCAGGGAATTCGTCACCGAACAATACCCCTGCTACATCTTCAGGCAATGGGGATGAAGCTAACCTTGTACCAATTATAGCAGGAGCCGTGGTTGGAGCAGGGTTATTGTTGCTGCTTGCCCTGCTTGTATTTTTATGTACATGCAGAACAAAAAAGAAGAGATCGCCACATCATGATTACTACAAAGATTACTCCCCTGCACCCAAAGGTACATATCACACTCTATGAATTAAAGTTACGTCTGGTAAGCACGAGCCTTTCCGAGCCATATATACACACGATAATGGAATTAACTTTTTGTGGCATTTTCATAAAAAATATTTTTCACAGTGAAAATTTATAATTGCTATTATTAATTATGTATACCAGGATTTGAGTTTATTTTAGCATAAACAGATTTAATGTGGTAAAAATGTGTCATAATTGCATCAAAGCTAAATCTCTTAAATTAAATAAATGTTGATAAAGATGTGATAAAAGCAATTGCATAGAATATTATTACAAAATGTACTTACAGTGGCATTTCCAAAATTGTCGCTGAAATCCTATTATGTTGCAGTGGTGCTAACCCTGTTCATTTGATTTTGAATGATATGATATAAATACTTATTCAAGCTGACTAAGATTACTGGCCAGATTGAATTTGTGTACTGCTTATTGTAGAGTATAATTATGAAATGTGCAGCCGCAGGTGGTCTTTATTACAACGCAACACCTCTTCAACAACCTGTTAGTAATGGGCACAATGAAAGCAAGCTCACAGAGCAAGTTGTAAATCTTCCTCCACCTCCTGGTGGAGGATATGGAGCTTGGTCACCCGCACCACCACCACCACCACCACCTCAAGTTGCAATTATGTCAAGTAGTGAAATGAGTTCCAATTACTCTGGCTCACACAGTTCGTCAGGATTGCCTCCATCACACCCGTCCCTGGCTCTTGGGTTCACCAAGAGCAGCTTCAGCTACGGTGAATTAGCAGCAGCAACTGCAGGATTTTCTCAAGCTAATCTAATAGGCCAGGGAGGTTTTGGTTATGTGCATAAAGGGGCGTTGCCTAATGGCAAGGAAATTGCAGTTAAGAGTCTCAAAACTGGTAGCGGACAAGGAGATCGAGAATTTCAAGCTGAGGTTGAGATTATTAGCCGCGTCCATCATCGCCACCTCGTGTCCCTTGTTGGTTATTGCATTGAAGGAGGTCAAAGATTGTTGGTTTATGAGTTCGTCCCCAATTCCACCCTTGAATTTCACCTTCATGGTATGCTCTAAAAATCCTGAATTCCTTGATAAATTCCCCTCATTCATGGCATTCTTTATTCTGATCATATGATACTGTCTTCAAATTTGTAGGTAAGGGTCATCCGACCATGGGCTGGCCTACTAGGCTCAAAATTGCCCTGGGATCGGCCAGAGGACTTGCATACTTGCATGAAGACTGTAAGTCAATTACCACTTCTCGATCTGCCTCCCCCCCCCTCTCCCTTTCGGCATCTGTTTCTCTTGGGGTAATCTGTTTGATACATGCAGGCCACCCACGCATTATCCACAGGGACATTAAAGCAGCAAATATTCTGCTTGACTACAGTTTCGAAGCTATGGTATTCAGGCAACAAATTACCTCTGTTTAGATATAATTGTTTCAGCTAATGATTTATGTTAAATATCAGGTGGCAGATTTTGGTTTGGCTAAGCTATCTTCAGACAACTATACTCATGTATCTACACGAATAATGGGAACATTCGGGTAAGAACCTTTTGCTCCATTTCATTGTTGGATCATGTGTTCTGCTGGAGCACCAAATTTTAATAGAATTTGACTGGCACATATTGATATGTGATTATCATTGATCCATACATTTAGGTACTTGGCTCCAGAGTATGCTTCGAGCGGCAAGCTTACCGATAAATCTGATGTTTTCTCCTTCGGTGTCATGCTATTGGAACTAATAACTGGACGTCGACCTGTGGATCTCTCCGGGGACATGGATGACAGCTTGGTAGACTGGGTGCGATCCTTAATTTTGCAGCCTCACAACTGCGTTTAATCGATCTTCTGAAACACAAGTAAATGCTTATATTGAATTTTCGGTTTATGCATCTGCAGGCTAGACCCTTGTGTGCAAAAGCACTAGAAGATGGAAACTACGATGAGTTGGTTGATCCAGCTTTGGAGGGCAATTACGATCTCCAGGAGATGGCATGCATGGTAGCATGCGCTGGTGCATCAGTTAGTCATTCAGCAAAGAGGAGGCCGAAAATGAGCCGGGTATGATATTTTAATTACCATGGTGATCTCTAGTTCTGTTTAAAAAATTCAAAGCTTTGATCAAGCAACCACCATGCATTTTCAAGAAATCTTAGTCCATACTTAAATTTGTCATCGATGTAATTTCTTCAAAGAAATAGAATTTGCGCTGTTTCTTCATCTCAAAGAAAATCTAATAGCTAGCCCCTCCTAAGCTTTTACTAACTTTTGGTGGATTAGTTTTCCTCACGGAACTCCAGATCATGCAACAGACATCAAAGGGCGAGGAGGAAAATAGAAGATCTAAGATAGTGGATAAGCTGATCATAATACATAATCACTTTAGTTAATGGAAATTGTAAAAAATCTAAAGAGATGCTAATAAGCAGACATGAAACAGATTGTACGAGCACTTGAAGGTGAAGTTTCCTTGGACGAAGGGAGGAAAGCTGGCCTAATCTTCAGCTCCACTTCCAGTTCTGATTATGACCAAAGCTCATACAGTACAGATATGCGGAGGTTTAGGAGGACGGCATTAGACAGCAACGATTATGTAAGCAGCGAATTTGGTCACACGAGCGAGTACGGGCTGAATCCTTCCTCTTCCAGCAGTGAAGAAATGAGTCAAATGGCCAAGAGTCGGGCAGGGAGTCAGAGACGCAGCCCTTGAGAATTCTCAAAATTTCAAACTTCCCAAGACCATCGAAAATCATTTCAATTTGAGTATATAGTTTATACAATATTATTAAGAGCAGGATTGTGTAGAATTAAGTCTATATGTTTTCAGTTATTTCACGAGTGAAGGACTTTTACCATGCATGACTGTAATTATACAGGCGTGGCCATGAATATTGAAAAAAAAAAAAAAAGATGATGGGTGACGGCAAGATTTGATGTAATTTTTTTGGTGTGGCTATTGATATTTTTTTTTTTTAAATGATGATGGGTTCTGGCACAATTGGACCATTAAATCTTTGCTTGTATTTTCTACTGTATATTCTACTGTGGTGTTCTTGCAGATTACTTAGTTGAAATTTCGTGTAGGTGGTTTTTTAGGGAGCGAGTATAAAGATTCCAGCAAATATACGACGGCTCACTTAGGCAAGGCCAATCCATACCACAGAAGAAATTGAATCTGCAGACCTATAGATATTAGAAAGGGTACTGGTTACAAAGCTTCGTCAACCATGTAACCCGATACGGGAAGAAAACTTTCCATCACCTAAAAGTGTTTCAGAACTTCCTTAAGCAAAAACTTATCAAAGTTCAAACTCTAGTTAGTAGCTTGCAATGGCAACCTGGGCACGCAGGAGAGGTCCTCGGCACTGATCCCTCCCCCGGACATCTAGATCATGTAGACAAAGCTAACACCATCACGAGACATGAGTTCATGAAAAGATTCCATGGATTGAACTTTAGCAAAATAGAAACAGCATGCAGTCACATACTTTCGTTATGTAACATCTAACGAGGACATGGGTGATCCAGGGCATTAGTTTTGAGGTATGATACAGGTAAAAAAGAGGGTTAGTATGGGGAGGCGGAGGATTGATTAAAGAAAACGAAGATTTTTCATTAAATAAAGGTACAGGATACAGTAATTGGTACGTACAAATTAAACAGGCAACTTTGATACTGTAGCCAGATATAACATGAAGAGCCAATTTCACCAAGTTAGATCATGCAATTTTCCATTTTCTCATCAATTTTCACATGAGAATTACAGGCGGCGGCACAGAGATACGGTTCACATAAACTTGACGAGAATGTGAAGGAATCTACCAACAGCACAGTGCATCTGAAAAAGGCTTTGAGAAGCATGAACCTGAGAGGAAACAAGACATGTGATTCGATCCTTCTGCTCGAATCAGATTACCTGCCTGTGCCCTCCAAAAGCCCAAATCTGGAGAGAGGGAGAAGGAGAGAAATTTTATCAGCTTTCCAAATTGGTAACTAATTCATCTGTAAATAAATGTAACAGAAGACCAAAGTGAAACTGGATAACATAATGTGCAATAGATTTAATTATGCATGACACCTCCAACATGCACAACACCATAAGCAGTATTCTGACAAAAATAATTATCAATGCAGGGTGAATGGGATCCTATATATCAGAAAGTTAATAATTGAATAAAAGGTGCTTTGTTGTTAGATTAGGCAGGACTTCTAGAACCCAAAAACTAAGAAGAACAAGTGCTTCATTACCTAAAATAGAATCATTTAGAACAAACATAACAGATTATGTATGTTGAGGACAGAACTGGATAGCTAAGATTTTCAAATGTATGTCATGATCAACACAATCTTTTGTTCGTAGATTTGATATGGAACTTTTTCCTAGATGTGTCTCAAGCAAATCAGACAGTATCAGAAGAAATAATAAGGCATTGTTTATACGGAGACTAACCTTTAGATTTGTATCCCAACTTCCTGTACATAAGGCACTTCCATCAGCTGACAAACCCAAACAGCTTATCCGGCCCTCGTGTGAGTTCTGCAAAGATCCCAGGTTCAAAACAGCCTGCCATGAAATACAAAATTAATCAGGGTCAATGGATGCAATATCATGGCCCACCTCAAATCTTCCACAACTTGTACACATGCACAGAACTACTCAGCCAAAAAGGCCGCATGCAACAAAAGCATAATGTTCAAGCTTTTCTTTCTTAAAGGTTAAAAAACTGGGAGTTCTGATAATTCATATGACACAAATTGGAATAACAATAGCCACCAACAAAGTGGAGGAACTCCAGTTCCACTCTTTACATAAGTTTGTCTTCGGGTTTTTTTATCTATCATGAGCATAGCAAGGCCTTAGACCTATGCTGAGTAAAGGTACTTGCAACGGGGTATCTAATGCAAAACCTTTGGAACCTCATAACTCAGTGGTAGCGATGCACAACCAAATGACATTAGAGCAACATTCAAATTAGGAAACAAAAGCCAAAGTTGGGATTAGAAAATGCCCCCACCGAGTTCAGATTCCCATAAATAGTATTAAATAACTTGATCAATGCAAGCAAATCCAATTCCTTGAAAGATATTTTGATCGTACCATGATGAACTTAATACAAAGTGCAAAAGGGTACCTCTGCCAATAAAGTGTCCCAAACATAACAGTCACCATTTGAGTATCCTGCAAAGAGCAGTCTTCCTGATATTGAAAATGCAATGGAGATTACATGTGGGATCTCATTATCACCATGCTGGTGATAGTAAACTTGGAGCTGGTGCCCAGTCCTGATATCAAATAACCTGCAAGTACCATCATCCGAGCCTGTTCCAAATCTATTACCATCAGGAAAGAACTTTACAGCACCGACATCTCCTTCATGCCCATGAAATGTGCGCACTGCTCTACTTGCAACTCGGGTGTCCCATAACCGGGCAGTTGAATCACAGGAACCAGATACAAACATTCTAGAGTTTGATCCATTAATTGAGACACTGCAGGATACGAATCAGTATTACAGAGGTCAAAATTCAAAAGTGCTAATTGCTCCCTGACAAAGGAGAAAATCATAAAATTTGAATGTAATAATGTAATGCTATGAGTGATTTAAAGGAAAAAAAGAAAACATCTATTCTATAAGGTTCGATTGTCACAGGATGCACCATATATAAATGTCGACATAGAGTAAATATAGGGTTGTAAAAGAAGGCACCACTACAAGAGCAGCTGAAGGTTAACTAGGTAGATAGTTCTGTTGAATTTGAAGTCAAAAGGTAGGCAGGTAGGCAGTTTGCCATGCATGTGAGTTTTTCTTGCAGTAACAAGTTTAGCTCGAAGAAAACTTGGAGAATGCCTTACCTTAGCACATCAGCAGTGTGTCCAGACTGAAATTCTCCTCCAAACACGGAAGTTCTAATGCCCGTTGTAATATCCCACAAAACACATGTCTGGTCGCCAGAACTTGTTATCAGGTGAGTATCCTCATCTGGAACATACTGACAGGATGATACATAGCCCTTATGCCCACTAAGCATTCTCGATACAGGTAGATTCCCATCCTTATCAGTTGGTGAATTCAGGTTAAAAATTGAGCAAACACTATCAAGACCGCCACAAGCAACAGATTGTCCGGTAGGAGAGAAAGCACATGTCATCACCCACGCACAAGGTAGCTTTATGGCATGAGTTTTCTGACTTGTTAGAGCATTCCACACTATTAATCGCCCATCTTGAGAAGCACTCACTATTCTATTCCTTTCAGGGGTCCAATCCAATGAATATACCTGCAAGCGTCACGGGTATTAAAACTCTATTTGAAACCCATTGTTTAGCACTCATGCCAAATTACAATTAATAGGCGATCAATACAACATAATCAACCTTTAGTCTGCAGATCTTATGCATCATCTCCTCATTTCACTGCTTCAAAATACATATGGAAACCTTCATAATTTCGCTTGCACTCTGTTCATTAAGAGGGATGGAAAGGGTAAAGGGGAGGAATTGAGAGTAGAAAGGAGGGATATTAACCCGTCTATCTACTTTTTGGGATAACAAGTGAGGAAAGGATGGATTGCGAATTACATGACAGGAAGGAAATTTGGGATCCTTCCCTTCCTTTCTTGGGTCTCCATCCAACAAACTAGCTTAGAAAGCATTTCATTCCTCCTCCTCAATCCACCCCCCCTCCTCCTTCCTAACAAACAGAGCATCAAATAAAATGCTGATGTTCTAACTCTCAGTTTTTTCGATAAATCAATTGACAACTTCTAATTTCTTCCATTCAAAGGGCCTCTCTAACAAATCAAACTATCTGTTTCTTGGGTGCTCTCTGTCCATAACATGCATTAACTTTTTCTCGTTTAATGGATAATTCATCCAGATGAATATTTCTTGCCCTTTCATAAACACACCCCCATTAAAAAAGAGAGAGCAAAAGATCTTAAAAGTAATAATAAGTCATCCAATCTTCACTAGACTTCGTTTTTGGAAGCCAAGCCAAAAATAGGGACCCTTTGTTTTCCATAACATTCCTTCGCCTACGTTTGTGGCAGATAACAAATTCTGCATAAACTATGTCGCATCCGCCCACCAAAAAAAAAAAAAAAAAAACCTTCTAGTAATTGCAACTACCAAATACTACATGGCTTCCTTCGCCAGTTAAATCAAAACCCAAAACCCCATTTATTGCCTCTATCTTATATCTACGATGAAAACAAATAAGAATTAAATGTAAAAGAACAAGAATAGTGGTTATCACCTTGCCAGTGTGTCCTTGAAGAGTCCTGCAACAAACCAGATCGGTGGGCCCAAAACTCACCGGACTCCTCTCTTGCGCCCTCGCGTATGTCGCCACTGCAGCAACCCATAACAACTTCAATCAGATCCACTTTCTTTTATTATTATTTTTAATCAAATACGAAAAGGAAAGAAAGAAGGAAAATCGAAATGATTATTACTATCTGTATCAAGTAAAAGAAGGCGTTTCTGCTTCAATCGTTCTCTCAAAGAATTCACCGTCTCAGTCGCCGCCACATGGCGCTCCTTTAGCTCCGAAACAGACATTACTATCTTCAATTTTTCCAAAAAGAAAAAAGTGAACTAAAAAGCACTGGCCATCAAAGTTTTAAGCTTTTGTAATTATATATTTCTTCTTAAAGTCCTAGTAGTGATCATAAATCATGACTCGAAAAGGATTGAGGAAAAAAAAAAAAGGGCTTTAAAAATTCAATAATTTAAGAGAGAGAGAGAGTGGGATATATAGTTTTGATTAGTTTTAGAGGAGGTCGAGGCTGTGCAGGTGGTAATGGACTATTGGACTGATACTGCAATTCATGTTTTTTGCAGAGTTTAACAGGGACAGAGAGAGAAGGAGGTAGAGGTTTATTTTTTTTACTGCAGCCGCC